CTGCACTCCAGCCTGGCAACAGAGCAAGACTCCATCTCAAAAAAAAAAAAAAAAAAAGTATTTTCTTAAATAAGCTGGGCATGGTGGCACATGCCTGTAGTCCCAGCTACTCAGGAGTTTGAGGTGAGAGGATTGTTGGGGCCCTGGAATTCAAGGCTGCAGTGAACTATGATCTTACCACTGCACTCCAGCCTGGGTGACAGAGCAAGACCCTGTCTTTAACAAAAAAATAATTTAAAAAAGAACTCCTCCTACAAATCAATAAGGAAAAGTTAAACAACCAAAAAACTTTTTTGGCAAAAGACTTAAGAATAACCAAAATGAATGAAAAGATGCTCGTTAGTAAGAGGGCAGTGAAAATTAAAACAACACTGAGACACCACAGCATACTGCCATTTCAGCAAAAAATCCAAGTCTGATACTGTCACAGCTTGGCAAAGACGTGAAGTCGCCGGAACATTTACACACTGCTGATGGGGGTGTATACTGTCTCAACCACTTTAGAAAGCATGTGTGCACCCTATAACCTAGCAATTCCACCCCAGAAAATATTCCCTGGAGATACTCTTGCCCATATGTACCAAAAAACATACAAAACTAGGCATAGCAGCACCATATGTAGCAGGAAAAAAACCAAAAAACCCAAATGTCCACGCAGAGTCAACAAATAAATAAATTGTGGCATATTCATGCAATGGGGGTACAACGCTAAGGAGCTGCGTGATCTTGGGAAAGTTACTTAATCTCTCTGTGCCTCAGTTTTCTCATCAGTAACATGAGGATAATACCACTATTTACTTCACAGTGTTGGGGCAAGGTTCATTATCATTATTCCAGACCCTTAGAACAGTGGCTGCAGCAGAACAAGCTCTCTCCGTAAACGTTGGTGTTGCTAACATTCCTTGGTCCCTGCCCTGGAGAAAGGCCATGCTGACATTTTACCCCCCTGCAGGCTCTCCATTTCCATCCAAGCAGCGTTGCCCTCGCTGGTCTCTCCCACCTGGCTCCTGTCCCACCGGTAACGCCCACCTACCCTTCCACTCCTGCAATGCAGCCCTGCAGGGCACTGCCCTCTTCCTAGCAAGCCTCTCCTACTTTCTCAACTGCTGAACACCCACTTCCCTTGCCCAGACCCAGCTCAGACATCCCTCTCCTCTCCCCTCTGGGCATCCTCGATCCACTGGGCTTCCGTCTGTATTTCAGTGCTGTGGCTAGCTGCTTTCTCCTCCCACTAGTAAGATCCCTGGACAAGCCCCACTCCTTGTTCAACAAATTATAGCAAAGCCCCATAAGCACCCAAGTTATGCCAACACTTACTCACTATGTGCCCTGAGTGAGTCACTTAACTTCTCTGAATCCCAGTTTTCTTACTCAGTAAAATGGGGATATTAACACTGATTTTTTTTTTTTTTTGAGACAGGGTCTCACTCTGTTGCCCAGGCTGGGGGGCAGCAACGCCAGCACAGCTCACTACAGACTTGACCTCCTGGAATCAGGCGACCCTTTCACCTCAGCCTCCCGGGTAGCTGGGACTATAGGCACACACCACTATGCCTAGCTAATTTTTGTATTTTTTGTAGAGACAGGGTTTTGCCACATTGCCCAGGCTGGTCTCCTGGGCTCAAGCAATCCACCCGCCTTGGCCTCCCAAAGTGCTGGGATTACAGCTGTGAGCCACCCCGCCTGGCCAGCATTGACCTTTAATGGTTAACGTGAGGATTACATGAGATGACATATGTGAAGCTCTGTCTATAGTCAGCACACTAATAAAACGAGCTCCTCTGAGGCTGCTCATCTGCTGGGAAGACACGTTCCTCCACGCATCTCCTGACACTCTGCAGCTGCAGACAGCCTACCTTGAACCAGGGATTCTGGGCCAGGCCAGAGGAGCTACGTGCCCCCCTGGTTGCAACAGGCGGACTGCGAGCAGCACAGGGTTACTGGCAGAGCTGCCCTCCACACACCCACTGCTATCCCATCCACGGCGCAGCTCCAAACCTCACCAGCCACTGTGGGGCCCAGGACAGACAAGAGAATGGTATCCACTTCCCCTCCCATGTCTCCTCCAAGAGTCTCTGGCCAGCCTCTGATACCAGAGTTCTAGGGCCCAGTTCATTCTCCCCATTTCACAGATGAGGCAACTCAGATTCAGAAGAGACATTTCTAAATATCTAAAGTCTTCTTGCAGCCAGGCGCCGTGGCTCACGCCTGTAATCCCAGCACTTTGGGAGCCTGAGGCAGCAGATCACATGAGATCAGGAGTTCAAGACCAGCTTGGCCAACACAGTGAAATCCTGTCTCTACTAAAAATATAAAAATAAGCCGGGCGTGGTGGCACACACCTGTAGTCCCAGCTACTCAGGAGACTGAGGCAGGAGAATCACTTCAAACTGGGAGGCGGAGGTTGCAGTGAGCCAAGATTGTGCCATTGCACTCTAGCCTAGACAACAAAGCGAGACTCCATCTTAAAAATAATAATAATATGTGGCCAGGTGTGGTGGCTCACACCTGTAATCCCAGCACTTTGGGAGTCCGAGGCAGGCAGATCACCTGAGGTCGGGAGTTCAAGACCAACCTGACCAACATGGAGAAACCCTGTCTCCAAAATAATAATAATAATAATAATAAAGTCTTGCTGTTACTGAGCTTAAGAAAGCGGGGGGAAGCTAAACTCATCTAAATGTCTAAAGACAGGTCTAAAGTCACCCTGCAGTAAGAGACAGAGCTTGACCTTGAACCTCTCTGTCTGCCTCCGCCACAAGCCAAGCTGTCTCCAGGGGAAGGTGCTAGGGCCCTAAGCGGGGCTCCGGACCAGCTGGGCACTGTGCCCCCCATTGCCCAGGCCCCACTCAGCCCTGTCTGCAATCACCCACCCATCCCTGTCACATCCCAGACTGAATTCTTCTCCCGCAGCTGGGACTGGTTGTCATGGCAACGAGTTGTTTGGAAAGCTGTGGGATGATGGGCTATGCCGCAGAGTCAAGGATGGAGCCTGGAGGAGCCAGCAGTCGTGGGCTGCTTCCAGTCAAGCCAGGCAGGAAACCGGCTCCACCACCAGCCCCCTCAAAGGCTGCAGACCCAGGAATCCCAATTCTGGGCATCTGGTCGAAATAAATCACATGAAGAAGGGAAAAGCCAGATGCACAAAGATGGTCCACCCCTGCATTACTTACAGCAGGACGAAATTGCCTAGGTTGGTAACAGGTAACCTATCTGAGTATTTTTCTTGCACCAAGCACTCTGTTAAATGGCAAACAGGTGTCATCTCATTTCATCCTCACCACCTCCCTAGGAGGCAAGTCCTCTTAATACCCACATTTTGCAGATGAGAGAATTACACTCGCCTCAGTTGTTCGGATAGCAGCAAAGTCAGGATTGAACGTCAGCCTATTGGCCTCCAGGACTCACGCTCCTAACTCCATTACAGTGGTTGGAAATGGGAAGAGGAAGTCCCAGCCCACCCTCTCATCCTGACAGCGCCTGTGGTTAGGACAAATACATCCACAGACACTTATGACGCAGGGCTCAGGAAAAGATCAAATTCGGCAGAACAAGGTGAACCAGCTGAGAAAGATCTTCAAATACTATAGCACTTACAAAACAAAGCAAAGTCCTGGAACAATAAGGCATAATAGGAGCCTATTTATAGATAAAAAGGCTTGATGCATAGTGGAAAACAGCTCACTGATTCTATTTTACTAATTGGCCATTTGGCCTTGAGTACTCATGTCACCTCTCAGAGCCTCAGTGTTCCGATCAGTAAAATGGGTATATGTCAATAATGTCTACCTCACAGGCTTGTTACAAAGATTGAAGATAAAGTGCTTAGCACAATATCCAGCACGTGTTAAGCAAGCCAGACGCTGTTACGACTGTGCTGATACCACAGAACATGCACAGAGAAGGGCAGTGCAGTGAGCGCTCAAGATAGATCGCCTGGGGTTATACCCTTGCTCCCATTCACCAGTTGGGTCTGTTACCTCACCTCTGTGGACACCATGTGAAGATGAAATCAGAAACACTTAGCCACATCCTGCACATTCAATAAATGTGATGAAAATTCAACTGCGTGAGAAATATACACCAAAACCAAGTAGGTCATCTTCCGCCTTTGGTGTGTAAATGTTAGCTATGATTATTAATGAACCGATGATTAGTATAAGTAAAAGAACAATGGAAAGGGAAATGGTGATACAGGGAACATGGCTGGGCACTGCCTCGCTAGCTGTGTGAGCCTGAAGAATACTGCTAACCCCTTGAGCCTCAGTTTCCCCGTCTGGTTATATGGAGCTAACGCCTATCTTACAGGGTAACTGTGAGCAGTAAAGGAAAAACAATTTACCTTGTGCCTTGTGCTGTGCTGGGCACATTATTTTATACCATAATCTCATTTAATCCTCAAAACAATCCCATGAAGCTGGAATTAGTATCCCTTTTTTTTTTTTTTTGATTTTTTTATTTTTGTTTTCTTTAGTATCCTTTCTTTTGAGACAAAGTTTTGCTCTTGTTGCCCAGGCTGGAGTACAATGCTGCGCCCTTGGCTCACTGCAACCTCAGCCTTCCGGGTTCAAGCGAGCAATTCTCCTGCCTCAGCCTCCCAAGTAGCTGGGATTACAGACATGCACCACCACGCCCAGCTAATTTTGTATTTTTAGTAGAGACAGGGCTTCTCCATGTTGGTTAGGCTGCTCTTGAACTCCCAACCTCAAGTGATCCGCCCACCTCGGCCTCCCAAAGTTCTGGGATTACAAGTGTGAGCCACTGCACCCGGCCTAGTATCCCCCCCACCTTTTTTTTTTTTTTAAACTAATGAGGAAACCTAGAGAGATTTAAAAAACATCCCAATGGCCTCGTTTTACCCATTTAGTTAACAGGCATGTGAGAGAGAATGTTCATGAAGAGGCCATCTAGCTTAGCTCTATTAAATTGTACCGTCAAGCATGACATTGAGAGACATGGCCAGGCCCCCCTCCTATCCCAAAATCTCAGACTCAGCTCACCAGTCTGGGGCAGCCTCCTGGGCCGGGTTCCTCTGGCCCGTCCTGGTGGGAGTTGACTAAGCTTCTGTCTGCACCCTGGTCTTGGGCACAGGGCACCGGACCCTTCTTCAGCTTCTTAGTGCCCTTGGATCTTCTCTGCTCCGTGAATGGGCCTGAGCAGGCCCTGCTGGCTTCCGGGTCCAGAGGGGAGCTGGGGCTGCCCAAGGACTCCGGGGAGCCAACACAGCTGTCCGCAGGGGCAGCGAGTCCTTGCTCCAGCCTTCCCCTGGATGCTGGCTGACCCTTGACCTGCAGCTCCTCCTGGTCCTGCGCTGCAGCCCGGCCTTCAACACTGCCAGCCCGCACGACACGCACAGCTTTTTGCTGCTCTGCAGAGGCCCTTGCTGACACCCCCAGGCACAGTGCCGCGCTCTGTGGAGGAGCCTGTGCAGCTGGACTGAGGGACTCCCCTCCACTGGGCACTGGGAACCCGACAGCGCCACAGGGGCTGCCTGGCTGGGCCCCATCCCCTGCAGCAGGCAAATATCCAAACTTCTCAGTCCCTGAGGCACAACCTGCCCCACTTCCACCTGGCTCTGCAGGCCCAGACCCAGTGTCTCTGCAGGGGCCTCCCAAGGACTCCAGGTCAGCACCCTGGGGAGGGTCTCCCACAGATGAGGGCTTGTTTCCACCAGGGCTCCAATCAAGCCACAGGAAGCTGCCGGCCCTTTCCCCACCCTCCAAATGGGCCCCCTGCTTCCTGCTTTTCTTTCTTACCCTCACAGCGGCTGGGCCTGGTGAGGCTGTCGGGGGCCTTCCATGGGGCTCCTCTTTGCTGATTGTGGGGCTTCTTCTGTCACACCCTGGAGAACTCATCCCACCGTCTCTGGCCTCCCTGGACCTGGGGCAGCTCACCTCCTCCACCCCTGCAAGCCTCTCCCTGCAGACCAGGGCTCTCTCTGGAAGGCCAGCAGACCTGTGACAAAGTTTCCTGGGGCAACTGTCAGCTAAGATGTCACACAGATAAACCTGGAGCCTCTTGGAGGTCAGAGCTCTCCCCTGAGCTGGTACCGAGGGCAGCTGCATGTGGAGCCCAGGACCCGGCCTCGAGCCCTGGCTCTGTCCCACAGCGAGCAGCTCCGAGACCCCTGGGCAGACCCCAGCAGCACCCGCAGCCCAGGAGCTGGCACCTTGATGGGCCTCCTTCCTGGGGATCTTCCTTCTGCTGCCAGCCCTGACTTGGGGCCCAGAGCTTGTTCCTGGCCCATCTGGTGCCAGGCCTGGAGTGGAGCTGGCTCCTTCCATGTTCTGTAAAAGCTCACAGTTGTGTTGGGGACTGAGCACAGGGTCTTCTTTGCTGGGAACCTCTGCATCACCCACTTGGGACATGACTTTCCACCTACCTGGGCCAAAAGCACAACACCGGCCCTGTGTGGAGACAGAAAGAGGAGACTTTGTCATGGAGAGTCCGACCTGTCAGCCCATTCAGTGGGAACTAAGAGCCCCTCTTCCAGGCAGTGCTCCCAGACCCTTCCATTCCTGAGGCCTAGGTGTGAGCACTCCAGGGAGGGGAGCACCCATCAGGAGCTGGTGCCCTGGGTGAGGGTGGAGAGGCCTGCCTCCAAACAGGGCAGAGCTACAAGCGGCCTCCAGGGCCTTCTTGTCTCTGAGAGTTCACTCATTCGCTTAAATGGGATCTAATAAGATACCATTTATTAATGGCTTGTGTGCTTTCTTCATTTCATGCTGGCAGCCACAGGCAAGGACACTGAGATTCTGAGATGTTAAGACACTCACCCAAGGGCACACAGGAAGTAGAAGGGCCAGGATTCTCTCCTCTCAATTATCTTTCTCAATTCTCATTCATTCTCTCTCTCTCTCTCTCTCTCTCTCTCTCTCTCTCGTCTTTTCTGAGATGGAGGCTATTGCAGTGGCGAGATATCGGCTCACTGCAACCTGCGCCTCCAGGGTTCAAGCAATTCTGCCTCAGCCTCCCAAGTAGCTGAGGCGCAGGCCACCAGGCCCAGCTAATTTTTGTATTTTTAGTAAAGACGGGGTTTCGCCATGTTGGCCAGGATGGTCTCAATTTCTTGACCTCGAGATCTGCCCGCCTCGGCCTCCCAAAGTGCTGGGATTACAGGTGTGCGCCACCGCGCCCGGTCTCAATTTTCTTTCTCAATTAAATTCTCTCCCAGCTCTTAAACACTCCGCAAGGAGCAGATACTAAACGCGGTTCGTGCCCATAACCCCTCCCGTCCCTCTCCCATCGCTCCCGTTCTGAAAGGCGCCCCACCCAGGTTCCCAGGCCTTCCTGGGGCAGTCCCCCAGCATCTGGAAACCGGGCGCCACCGGTCTCGTCACTCTCACCTGCGCTTCCCCGGGTTTTCCCTCCTGGGGTTCCACCCACCAGCTGAGAAGGAGCTGGGATCACGTGATGCGGGGGAGGGAGGCCCCTGGTGAGGGATGGGGGTGGAGTTCCTGATGATGCGCACAGGGAGGCTCCCCAGGCGTGCTGGCGTTCCTGCCACGATAGAGGGCGCCCTCTTCCTCCCGAGGGCTTCCCAGAGGAGGTGCCAATCCTTCTGGCTCCCAAGCAGAGGTAGGTGGGTGCATGGGGCGGCGTAGGGCCTTGACTGACTGCCTGAGAGTTTAACTTGATCCTTCCGCAACAGTCCCTGAGCCGATAGGGGAATGTCAGAATTATCTAGATTTGTTGCCTAATTTTATTTTATTTTTTAACTTTTATTTCAGGTTCAGAGGTACATATATAAGTTTTTTATATAGATAAACTTGTGTCACAGGGGTTGTTGTACAGATTATTTCGTCACCCAGTTACTAAGCCTGTACCCAATATTTATTTTTTCTCATCCTCTCCCTCCTCCCACCCTCCACCCTCCAGCAGACTCTGGTGTCTGTTGCTCCCCACTTTCTGTCCGGGTGTTCCCATCGTTTAGCTCCCACTTATAAGCGAGAACATGCCATAGTTGGCTTTTCTGTTCCTGCATTAATTTGCTGGGGATCTGGCCCCCAGCTCCATCCGTGTTCCTGCAAAGGACGTGATCTCGTTCTTTTTGATGGTTGCATAGTATTCCATAGTATTCCATTTTTTGCCAGTGAGTATTTAGGTTGATTTCATGTCTTTGCTATTGTGAATAGTGCTTGCCTAATTAAAAAAAAAAAAAACTCAACTATAATTAATGTAGATGGAAATGCAGATTCAAGCCCAATAGAAGGTTAGAAATCAAAAGTTTAAAGCTTTCTCTCATTTCCCAATCCCCCAACTCCTGGAAACAACTGTTTTGTTTTTTGTTTTTTACCATGTTTGTTATTGTTTTAGTTTTTTTAATTTCCTGACCGAATAATACACTCATACCTCTATTACTTGATTTATTAATTTTAACTGTACCTGTTGACTTCCTGCTGTGGTGATTTTAAACACCACCCTTTCCCCCTTTCTCCTCCCAGTTTTTCTTTTTTATATTTATATTTTAAGTTTTTCTGTTAGTTTCTATTACCACTTTGAATAATATTCTTAAATGTCTGTTTCTTCTGTATTTTGTATCTCTTGACTCTTCTCCATGTGAAATGGATAATTTCCCTTGATATCCACTCCCTGCCTCTGCTTTCATCCATGAACTAAGCCTTTATTTTTTTAATTTTTTTTATTTTTGAGACAGAATATCACTCTGTCACCAGGCTGGAGTGCAGGGACACAATCTCAGCTCACTGCAACCTCCGCCTCCCGGGTTCAAGCGATTCTCCTGCCTCAGCCTCCCGATTAGCAGGGGGTACAGGTGCATGCCACCATGCCTGGCTGGTTTTTGTATTTTTGGTAGAGACAGGGTTTCACCATATTGGCCAGGCTAGTCTCGATCTCCTGACCTCGTGATCCACCCCCTCAGCCTCCCAAAGGGCTGGGATTACAGGTGTGAGCCACCGCCCCTGGCCTAATTTTACTTTTGTATGGTTGAGATTTATAGCATTTACATTCTATCCAGTAAAGAGAATTCAGTTTACCATAGTTTACCTGTAGATTGAGTTCTAACACTGAAAACCAGATGACATCTATGACGTTATGATTATGTAAATACTTTTACTGCAGAAACAGGGGTGTTTGGCTTTTTCTGAGATAGGACCTGGCTCTGTCACCCAGGCTGGGTTGCAGTAGCATAATCAGAGCTTACTCCTGAGCTCAATTACCTGAGCTCCAGTGATGCTCCTGTCTCAGCCTCTTGAGTAGTTGGTATTACAGGCGTGTACCACCACGCCCAGCTAATTTTTTAAAAAATTATTTTTGGTGGAGGCTAGGTCTCACTATGTGGCCCAGACTGGTCTTGAACTCCTGAGCTCAAGCAATCCTCCCATCTTGGCCTGGGATTACAGGCGTGAGCCACTGTACCTGGCCAGAACCAGGAATTTGATAGGTCTGATTTCGAGGGAGATAGAATTCCCTGGCACTAAACTTGTGCCAGGTGAGACTGTGAGAAACTTCCAGGCCAATGGAATACTAAACCACAGTTAGACTACATAAATTAGATCTCTATATCAACATGAATGTATCTCAATGCCAATGTGAAATTTTAAAAACAACATAATATTAATAATAAGCGAAACTGAGTCTGGAGTACACGGGAACTCCCTGTACTAATCTTCAGATTTTTCTGTAGATCTAAAACTGTTCTAAAAAACAAGGTTTATTACAAAAGAAAAAAAAAAAAAAACAAACAAACTGGGCTCGGTGGCTCACGTCTGTAATCCCAGCACTTTGGAAGGCCAAGGCGCACGGATCACAAGGTCAGGAGATCGAGACTGGCCAACATGGTGAAACCCCGTCTCTAGTAAAAATACAAAAATTAGCTGGGCGTGGTGGCAAGCCTGTAATCCCGGATACTCGGGAGGCTGAGACAGGAGAATTGCTTGAACCATGGAGCCGGAGGTTGCAACAAGCCGAGATGGCACCGTTGCACTCCAGCCTGGCTACAGAGTGAGACTCCATCTCAAAAAAAAAAAAAAAAAAAAAAAAAAAAAAAAAAAAAAAAAAAAAAAAAAAACACAAAACAACAACAAATGAAGAAGCTATTGGGTAATCCATATTGAAAACTGTCATGATCTGGCAGTCAGAGTCTTAGATGAGGGAAGGGTGGACATTGGATGTCACTGATGACCAAAATTACTAAGGAAATCATTTTTGTAAATGAGAACTCCTCCCACTAAGGAAAGTCTTGGTCATGATGGCAGAGAATTGACCAGGTTTTCTAAGACCAGCGAACTAAGCCATTCTGGTCCATTTGGGTAATGAAGTCTCCAACATTGAGCAGAGAAAGCGGGGGAGGAGATGTTAGTACCACATGGTACAGAGATAAAGAATGGCTGGCCAGGTGAGGGGGCTCACTCCTATAATTCCAGCACTTTGGGAGGCCGGGGTAGGCAAATCACAAGGTCAGGAGTTCGAGACCAACCTGGCCAATATGGTGAAACTCTGTCTCTACTAAAAATACAAAAATTAGCTGGACGTGGTGGCGCATGTCAGTAGTTTCAGCTACTGGGGAGGCTGAAGCAGGAGAACCGCTTGAACCCAGGATGCAGAGGTTGCAGTGAGCCGAGATCTCACCACTGCACTCCAGCCTGCGTGACAGGAGTGAGACTCTGTCTCCAAAAAAAAAAAGCATGGTAAACACTTAGGTAGTGCTGTATTGAGCCAGGGTCTAGTCTAAATACTTTGCCTCTATTAATTTACCTATGTTAATCCTTACACCAAGTCCATGAGGTAAGAACTGTTAGTATCTTTATTTGACAGATGACGAAATAGGCAGAGAGATTAAGTAATTTGCTCAAGGTTAGCAAGTACTGGTTTTGGAAGCCAGCCAGTCTCTGGCCAGTTTCTCTATCTCCTGGTATTCTAACTTAGGTTTTGTTTGTTTGTTTGTTTGTTTGTTTGTTTGTTTTTTGAGACAATCTCACTCCATCACCATCTGGAGTGCAGTGGCACAATCTCAGCTCACTGCAACCTCCGCCTCCCAGGTCCAAGCGATTCTTCTACCTCGGCCTCCAGAGTAGCTTGGATTACAGGCATGTGCCACCACAGCTGGCTAATTTTTGTGTTTTAAGTAGAGACGAGGTTTCACCATGTTGGCCAGATTGGTCTCAAACTCCTGACCTCAAGGCCTGTCTCGGCCTCTCAAAGTGCGGGGATTACAGGCATGAGCCACTGTGCCCAGCCTATCTCCTGGTATTCTAAAATGTCTCATTGTCGTAAAAAAATAAAGTAAGGTTTTGCCCAGGTTTTGGCCTAACGCCATTTACTCCATCATTAGCTGTTTGCTCCACTGACTCATGACAGCACCTCTGCCATATACCTGGTTCCCATTAATAAATGAAATTTATTTCTT